AGGTGTTAGAATGTCACTTGCAGATATAATCATATTGACGGATGCAGTCTGTGGTATGCCAGACGTGAGTGCTTTGCAACAGATCCTAACGCAATTAAGGAATTTTGCAGTATCATGCTCTTTTATACAGGTGATCGATTGTGTTTTGTTTCTTGTGATCTACATACGAATTATAATCATAACCAGTCGAATAATCACTTACAATTAGCAAATTTATTTTCAGTTACAAAAACGTAATATCGAAGAACCAGTATTCGGTTCAGTTACCTATCCAGAACTATTTCATTTCCTGGCGATCTCAACTTTTGGTACATATCTTCCAGACTGTCACTGCTCCATTCCCGATGTTTGTGTTTTATTTATTAACTGTTTGTTCGATTCTTATTTCGATGTTCTAAGTGAAGTTTTTTGATTGATATATATTACCTGGATTACCTGGATTGGCCAGGCTATCAAACGTTTATAACGTTGCTGGCCACAATGCTTGCGTTTCCGTGCGCATTGTTTTAGCCTCAATTTACGCCACCCCGCTGGCTAGGTTAGCAGGCCAAGTGAACACAACCGAGTAAATAATTAGTCGCTGTGAATACTTTGCATAATGAAAACGCAGTCAGACACCAATTCAATAAATTATCATTGATCTAATATAATAAATATTCCGCCGATCGCTCACTGCGATTGACAAAATAGCCACTCGATGTCCAAATTTGATTGATACGTATAATTGTATATAATTGAATAACGCCGTAAATGCATATGCATATCTAAGAATGATTCAGATCAAATGGCCGTTGATGAATGCCTATCATCGTGCCTTATTATGCTGGAGTTTCAAGAGTGCATTAGCGGGTAACGAACACATCAAGAATACCATTGAACTCATCAATCCTGAATTTGCGAACTTCTATATTTTGTTGGTTTTTGTTGATTATAATTGAGGTTATGTGGTTATGTGTATGAGTATCAGCTGAGGTTATGTCTATCAGTGCTATATGATATTTGTGCAGTAGCATTTGATAGATATAAGTCAACCTTTTCTCCCTCCCGCACCCCCTAGAAAATTCTTAATTTTTTAAGATGTCCTTTCACCCCTCACAACATCCTCTCTGTATCACTCATCCGCTACAGTGAGTGTCTGTAGTGTAGGTAAATGTAAACCATTAGAATACGTTTTGATCATATTAAAAATACATCCGTAAAGTCTATGCTTACCTCCTTATACATATGTAAGCACTGAACTCCGTGTGCGCCTACTTTAATGTCTAAAAATAAAACCTTATCTTGCNCCCCCCCCCCCCCCCCTCTCGGAATACCATCTCGCACCTGTTGGAATTGCCTGGTTGAGAAACGCTGGTATAAATGATTGATTGGAGAGATGTAGTTGAGATCAATGGTGATACTTGTAGGGATATCATTCGGCATAAACACCTCAGTCTGGAGTATGAGTCGAATCTATCGAACTTGTTGTATGTTCGGATGCGTGAGGGATTCACAGTGAAGGAGATTCGCTTCATCGATAAGTGCAAGAACGTGGAGTGTGATACATTCATCGTTGTCGAGCTGCGACTGCCTTGGAAACCGCTTGTCTTCATCGAGTATAAAATCACTGCACCATGGCC